AGTCAAAATCTGAGAGTCGCCATACCCAAAGGGTGCAAGTACCTTCTGAGGTACTGAACGACCCCGTTTTACCCCCCCGTTTCAGCCATCCTCAAGTAGCAAGGGATCCTCTGGGATAGTCAACTCATCCCCCACCCCGGGAGCCCCTGGCGTGTTCCCTGCGGTTCTCGCTGCAGAGCTCGTCCCCCCGCGGCCAGTCCAGAGGAAAGACCTGCAAAGGAATTGGTCCATTTTGGATCCTTCGGACGTGGGCTCGCCTGTTTGTGAGTTGCATGGCGGAATTGGTCCAAATTCTAAGGGTTGTTGTATTACACCCTGGGATTGCACCCTTGGGAAATGGCCCAAAATGGCCCAGAATAACATGAGTTTAGCCCTGGCATATGCCTAAATGGGGTCATTTCCCAGCGGGCGTAATCCCAGGGCGCAGTACAAAACCACTTACACCAAAGGATCCTTTGGTGGACATGGGTGGCTCGCTTTCTGTTAGGGGACCCACACAAATTGTGGTCTTCCTGTTGGTTCCTTTTGAAACTCAGGGGGCGCATTTGTTGGGGGTTCTCTTACTTAGATTGTCTGGGAGGGATCGCTAACGTCGCTAAATGGCTGGCTTTGCCCTGGTAACGCACCAAAGCAATGGTTGTAAGTCCAACCTGCAACTAGGGGACCAGGGGTACTAGCCATTTAGCGATTCGTCCCAGACCATCCATGTGGACATCAAAATTTGGTGGGGACTCAGGTACCCTCCCATCCACTTACATGGAACCTGACTGATGGGTCCTGGAGGGCTAATTTCCTCTTTTTTTGTGGTGGGTTCTATGTTAGTGGACGGAAGGGTAACCACCAACCACTGAGGTGGTTCCCTATAATTTCGTAGAGTTGGAGGTTCTGCTTGTTCGCTCAATGAGCTTTTGCTGTTTCCCTTCGTACCTGAACACCAGTTGTCCTCCGATGACATGTTATGATGCTGATGAATTCACGCGGATGTGCAACTAAAAGTCCAACGCACACATGCATCCATCGAATGCATGCCATTGTTTGCTTGCGGCCAAGGACAAAGCAAACAGAACACGCAGCAAATTTACAATCAGCCGAATCAGAAAGTTGGTCAGGTACAGAAGCAGCCTGGGCACTAGTGTTCGGATGCCGCATCGATGGATTTGTTGAATCCCTAGAGTATTGCAAGCAAACCAAGCACATCCAACCACAACATCCTGGCAAACCGGTGCTCTTGACCCGTACTTGCGCACTTGCAGGGCATCAATCGCTTGATTGTGTCTCAAACTTGGAGACATTCTCGGCAACCTTCCAGCCCGACCCTGGGAAAAGCACCTTCCAAAGACTCGGCCGCAAACCTGATGTTTCCGAGGGAGGATTCAATATGAGTCTGATGTGGAAAATGGACGTCTGTGGTGTGTCTCGCCGTGCAACAAGCCAACAGCAGCCCAATGCTTTGACTCAAGTAAGAGCCTCCAACTGCCAAGTAAAAGCGAGCAGAGATGGCACACGCGACGCTTGTTTGTGGCACAGCCCTGAGAAGGGTCGGTCCAGGGTGTTCCAAAGTGACACAAACCTCCCATTTGGAGGGGTCTCCCTCGTTAGACAAACCCAAAGGCGACGAGGGCCGCTCTCTATCTTTTTCCTCCAAGGGTGGGCTGGCACATGCCTTTGGCGTGACGGCAGCCCAAGATTGCACAGAGCCACACAAGAGTCATAAATCTTCGAAGTGCAAGCCTCAAATCATGGCATTTGCGAGACTGGTCACGCCATCTGAAAATGAAAAAGCATTGTGATATCCGACAATCAGGCAGCACTATTTGTCATGGCAAGAACATGCTCTATGAAATGGGATGCGCATGGACCAAACCAAAAGTGTGGCTCCGCGTGCGTGATCCTCGAGGCTCGTGAAAAGCAGCTGCCTAACATAGTCCCTCTCTGAGAACACATCCGCCTGCGGATATGAAAGAGATGGGACGTTTGGAACAATAACTCGCCAGCTGCTCTGGCTGCAAGGCGAACTCAGCTGAAGCCAAAGCAACTAGCGAGCAAAGTCTCTTCCGCAAACGAGAACCGCTCCATCTCAGAGCTTCGTCTTCCCCTCAGCGCGAGCGCCTCAGTTGCCAACCCCACCAGCCTCACCCAGCCGCAGCGACGCTCGTCGGTAAACGAAAACACGTCCACTTGGCCTCAAGGAGAGCCACGGAAGCCCAAGGATCCTGTGACCAGAGCCTTGTCAAGGTTCGGGATATAAACATGTGCGGAATCAAGCCAAGCCCAGGAAGGAGCAATGCTGGAAAACAGGGTGCCGTCACACTTGCAAACTGTAACGCCTTCACGCCAGCCAAAAGCCAAACCTAATCGCACAGTGGAGTCGCTCCATGAGAGGCATGTGGACAACATGAGTGTCCGCTTGAAAAGAAAATCGATGGCCCTGGAACATGCATTACAACTAATACGACCAACTAAACCAGCGCCATTTTATGTTGAGCACACTGTTCCCTAAAAAGGACACTTCTGGTTGCAAAAATCCGGTCTAGAAAGTCCAGGATTCCGCTGAGTGTGTCTCAAGGCTCGGCTCAGCCCTGTGATACTATGGATGGTTGCGACATCCGAACTCCGAGTCTCGCTAGGAGAAACCATGGGAATGAAACCAGGCGTGTTGCGGTATTTGCCTTGCAAACTCGAGTCATAGGCTGAATGGTGCAGGATGTCCACAGTACCTCCCAAAAACCCTCAGAAGGACAACCACCCCGGCTGAAGCCCCTCGCAGACACCGCCCTACGGCGACCTTTAAAAGGCTGCTTTTTGTTGGTGTCGTGCCCAAGCGATCAAAACACGGCTCAAACGTGCGCGATTTGGGTGTCAGCAGGATGCAGGATGCCTCTCGCAATCTTCAAGCACCAGAAGACAAATACTGAAAGAGTTGCGACAACCGTGTCCCTCACATGGCCCTTTTTGAACGTCACCCTGTCATTATTCTCACTTCCTGAGTGGATTGGCCAAAAAGTCAGCTTTCTTTTAGAAAAAATATGTACCCCTAAAGTGGGCTGCCCTCAGATCCCCTGCTAAAAGTGAATAACCTTTAGTGGGTAAAATACGGAAACTATCACTCAACTCAAGTCTAAAAAACTAAGGCGATGGCTGGGAAGGAACCACCAAGTTAAGGTTCGGGAACTCGGGGAGTGTTTGTCTTTCGAACACCAAAACCCAAGTGAAGAACCATCAGTGGCACCGCTTCCTTTTCCGCTTGCAGGACCTCTGGGACAGGGAAGTTGGTCTTCGTGCCGTGCTCTGGGGCTGTCTTCATGCCGAGCCGACCGGGTGAAAAGGTGATCATGGGTGAAAATGGGTGCGTCACACTCTTTTGGCGGATCGGATCCCCCCAAAAGAGTTTGGGAGTTTGGGAGTTTTTGCTCTTGGCTTGAATCATCGTGCAGCCCAAGCGCTGGACTTTTGGTGTTTCTCGAAATCGGCGAGTTCTTGGATCTCCTTCTTGTTCCTCTCAATTTGCTGCAAGGAGCTGGTGACCACTTGCTTCAAGTCCTGGACGCCAAGAGCTTGGGTTGCGCCCAAAGGCTCAGCCCAGGGCGTAGTTTTGAGGCTTGAGGTGTCAGCATGTCAGAGCTGCTTGCTGTGGTTTGAGATGAGATTTAAAGCTTCATAAAGACAAAGAAGCAAACCACCCGGCTCTTGCTGCTGAAAGAAAAAAGCGAACCTAAGATTGTCACGAAGCAAACCGGAACAGGCACGAAGCTCTCAAGACCTGGCACTGAGCATACAAAACTTGGAACCTCCAACACATGTGGCAGTTTCTAACAGGGGGCTGGTGGACATTGAATCCGAACTTTGATGTGCAAAGGGTGCTCAACTCCAATTCACATCTATTTGAGGGTGCCCCTGTTGGAATTGGCTGCAAGAGAGCTTAACTAAAAGGAAAGCCACCTTCTCTTTTTTTTCCCAACAGACCAGATAAGCTCCGAGGTGGTCCGGGGCGGCCCTGAGGTAAGGTTCCACGAGGGTGCCACGAGGTTCTGCGTGGTCTGCGGGATGGCGCGAGCGCTAAAAAGAGCACCGCATGCTGTTGGGATATCACCTGAGCTTTTTCTTTTTTCTTCGGGAAGGGGGTACCGATTCCAATGACGAGCCATACATATATAGGTGAACACTCGATACGGATTCGGACCCCCATGGCTTTGGTGGTATTGGCTTCCTCGGCTTCCTGTTTGGAAGCTAGAGGAAAGAGGCGGAAGGGGGCGGTGCCGAAAGGATGGGAAGCAGACGGACTTTCTAGAGCGGCTCTCGGTGTGTGTTGTTTCCATGGTGCTGCTTCTTTTTATAAGGTCCCAAAAGAGGGCGCTCCTTGTTGGGACATATGCGGGTTCCCAAAGCCCACAAAAAGGGTACCCTCAAAAATGACACATGCAAATGTGTATATAGATGTATATGCATGAGTCATATAAGCCATGCGTGGGACAGAAATCTAGTGAGTGCCCCGTGTCATTCGCAAATGGACCACGGACTGCTCGATACTTTAGCCCAAATCTTGCATGGGTGTTTCTCAAAATAGGGGACCTCTGAAACTGGGTTGCTCACCAAGCAACACCATGCTAGTCTACTTGATCTCAAACGGGGTCCACACGAACAAGGAAACGAGATTTGTCAAACTAGATTCTCGACATGGGAATGTGTTTCAAAACAGGGGGACCTAAAAAAAGGGGGTATCGCCGTTTGGTGTCCCTCTAAAACCAACCAAAAGCAGATTCCCGAACAACGAGCCAATATAGTGGCTCAAAAAAATGGAAACCTACATGGCGCCGAAAGATATATAAAACCAAGGCACTAAAACTTGCGGTTGGCCCCTAGCTCTTGACTTGTTGAGCCACTTTCCCTCCAAAAACCAACCAAAAGCGGATCCCCCCAAAAAAACAAACAAAAAGGGGAACCCTTGCCAAAAAAAGAAGAACAAGCGGAATCCGCGGTTGCGACGAGGAATATATGCCGTGTCAATGCCACGGGTCCCACAGGTCCTTGGTGAGGTCGGAGATCCTCCGGAGGAGCTTTAGGGACTGGATGTTCCAAATCGGCGTGTCCAGCATCGCCAGATTCCTCGGAGAAGCGGGTGGGTATGAGGCCTCGACCCTCAAACGGCTTTGGCTTCACCCAACCCAAGCCCAAAAAGAGACCCTCAAACTACCCACACAACAGAGGATTTCACCCCATATGTTTCGGGCAATAACCCATTTTGAAGGGTATTTTGAGGGTCCGGGTCCAGGTACTCAAAAAGGCGCGCAGGCCAAATTCGTATTCAGGACCACACGAAGACACTAACTTTTGGAACCCCAGAACGATGCCTCCGGAGAACACCAGTGCCCTTCCGTCGCCCCTTTCTCTGGGGCAGTCACAACATGGTGCGTGAGATCTCTGGGTCTTTCACCTCTCACGGGTGTTTGACCCCTCACGGGTTGGACACAGCCTTCTCACCGAGACTGTCCAAACCTGGAACCTCAAGCTCAAACTACCCACAAAAAAAGGGATTCAAGCAAGTTCACTTGGCTGTGTGACCTTCTCATAGCCTTTTACTCGAGAGTGTCCAAACCTTTTCCCTTCCATCCCAGAGGAAACTCACAACCTGGACCCTCAAACTACCCATACAAAAGGGAATTCACCCCATAGTTTCAGGGCAATAACCCAATTTTATGGGTATTTTGGGGTCCAGGAAGATCTCAGATTCGGAACGGTGGTTTGATAGGCAGGGAATGAGTTGGAATGACCAACTCAAAAACCATCCGTGCCATGGTTTCCTTTATAAGGGAATCCCCAAACGGTTCACTCCGAAAACCCGGACTCGCAAGATGAATCCAGGCAGCAGCCAACCCCGCGTCCATTGTCCCACTGCTAAATGAGAGCACCAAGGTGAAAACTGATGGCTCTCAGCATGTTCGAGCAACCCACCTTTGCACTCAGTGGAATCCATCCATCAACCAATCACTTACCTCAAAAGGGGCTATTGCCCTAAAATCGTGCGGGTGCTTTCTGGGTCGTTTGAGGGTTCAGGTACACGCATGATTGACCAAATTCGTTCTAAAGTACCGCACAAAACCTAATCGAATCAAATTCAGGCCTCAATTTTTCCCCCAGTTCATCTCAGCTACCAAATTCTAGCCCACCTGCTTCATTTTTAGGCCAAATTCCATTGGTTGCCTCCAAAATTCAGGGGCATCCGGAGCTCACGTTCCCACAAACACCCCGCCCCCCCCCCGCCCGTGGAGCTCCCGTGATCCAGCACAAGGCGCAGCAGGCCCTCCACGAACTCCGCCTGACTCACGGAGTTGCTGTCGTCCACGTCCAGCACCTCGAAGAGATCCATCATGCTGTCCTCCAGCCGAGCTCCGGTAAAACACCCCGAAACTGGAGCTCGCCCCATGAACGCCCCCCGGCTTCCCCAGAAAATGGAGCTGTCCGACCCGGCAAAGGCCCCGGTAAGGCCCCAGTTTCCCCGGAAAAAAGTTGGAGCTCTGGAGAGGAGCCCCATAAAGGCCCCGCGGTTTGCCTGGAAATTTCGGCTCTGGGAGAAGAGGGAGGGCTTCGGGATCTTTGGGCTTTGGGAGGTGTGTGTGCGTGTCTGTGAGTGTGTGTGTCTGTGCTTCTTGTTTGCTCGCCTCTTCTTTGGTTGGGGGGGAGTTGGGGGAGTTGGGGGGGGTTGGGGGGGGAGGGGGGCCTTTGGCGTTGTGAGTATCTGTGTGTGTGTGCCTGTGTGTTTGTTTGCTCTGCTTTTTTGCTTGGTGTTTTCGGTGTGGAGGGGGCTTTGGTTGTTTTGAAAGTCTTGAAGTTTGGGCGAGTTGGTCTTGTTTGGGGCTGTGGGTGGTCTCGTTTTTCGGAATGACGGTGAATCTTCGGGTGCCCTTTGAGGTGACGATGTTCACGGGGATTGATGTGGGTCTTTCCTCGGGGGGCTCCCCTTTGATGGAGATCCAAAGGAAACCACCATTCGCGGGGGTTCCCGAAAACAGGCTGTGGGTGGTCTTGATTTTAGGGGAGAAGAATGAACCATCCGGGTTTCTCGGGTCGAGACTGTGCATCTTCTCTCATGAGACGATGCTCTTTGGGATTGATATCGACCAACCTGGTTTGAGTTGGTGTGTCCAACTGCGTGTCTCTTTTTGTGAGTCAGAGCCCGTCCAGTTGGCAGGTGGTTTATCCCAAATCGGATTTTCATGGTTTCCCAACTTCGCAACCTCCGCAGTTCGGTGATTGCACCATGAGACCACACCACCCAGAAGCAAATTTCTTTGGGCCAAAGGAGCCCACAGAACTGGGGAAAACGACCGACTGATCTGAGCCCCGAGCCCCAAAAGTCAACTTGTTCCTGGTTGAAAGGGAAAGCTTTTCGCATTCTGATTGATGGAGAAAAAAAAAGGCTTCCTGGTTGAAAGGGAACAAAAAAAACAAAACGGCCAAATGTCGAAAAGGGGAAGTTTGGCGACAACGGCGAAAAGGCGGGGTGTGGCGTCCCTGCACCGCATTCCGAGGTGCAATAGGCAGATTCTTCAGGAAATTCGGGGGCAGCATGTCCAGTGGCATATTCGCCAGCTCCTCCTTCGTGATCACTTAGCGCGCGATGCTTTCGGTGCCCTGCTTCGGGTGACCCCAAGGTGGACCCGTTGAATGCGAATGGGGACTATAAGGGGTCTTGTCTTGTGGAGCTCGGACCCCCTTTATTACAACCCGTTAAGAGCCGATTGGCAGGGGTGCGCCAAATTCCGGAATCCGTGTTTGAGGATACCAAAAGGCAACCACGCAGGTGTTGGAGAATTCAACAGGATTCCGCCCATCCAGAGAGTTTGGTCGGCCATCTCATGCTGCGCGCCGGGGTGTTTTCTGAGGGGTGTAGGCTTTCATGAAAGAACGCCACAAGGAAGCCAGCCATGCTGGGCAGGGAACCAGCCACGTTTGAAAGGAACCCGCAGCAGTACCGGCAGCTTTTTGAAGAGAAGCGCTCGGCAGTTCCGGGCTATGGGTGTTCCTTCTGGTTTCGCTTAAGCCGAAAAAGGGTTGTCACCCATGCCCGCTCCCATTCAAGAATGGGTGTTGCAGTTCTTGGGGGATCAAGCACCATGGCCAATACTCACCAGAGAGATGACTCACAAGATCGGGCTTCCAACCATTGGACACATACCGACCTCTCCAGCTTTTGCTTCACCCATCTGACGCCCAACCCCAAAAAAAAAAAGAACACACCCACAACCGCCCATACCCGCCCCAAAACCCCCCCAAAACCCCCCCAACCCCAAAACCCCCCCAACCCCAAACCCCCCCCCCCCAAAACCCTCCCAACCAAAGAACACAAAAAACAACAACAAACATGCCCCCCCCCCACCGACAAAAAGAGAGAGAGAGAGAGAGAGAGAGAGAGAAATCCACCTCACCTTCCGAGCCGCGTCCGCTACCATCCACGTCGATGGCGAGAAAGGTCTCTAGCAACGACGGCAAGGACTGCTTCACCTTCCTGCGACGTGTCCCACCCGGAAGGGTCCACGACTTTCAAAGGGGCGATCGCGTACTTACTTCCATGTGCTTCAGGCCCCTAGCAAAACTAACAATACTTCCAGTAGTGATATTTTCCCTGTAAATCCAACAAGGGGAAAAAACAATATTATTAATCAAATGGAAGCTTAGCAAGTGGCCGGTAAGCCTGGTAACCCACAAAAGCCATGACGTCATAAATCTCCGTTCAGTGGGCTTTCTAAGTACCCTGCCCCGTTAAGTAGTACTGCCAAAGGTCTTTGACTATGGCACAAATGATTTCTGGGGGGGGGGGGGGGGGGCGGAGCCCCTAGGTCTTAATGTATATAATGTATATATATATATATACACACGTACCTATACCAAGATAGACACATTATGTATATACATACTGTGGATGGTTGCGAAATCCATTTCGCACCCCCTAATTGAGAAAGACCCTGGAATGATTCGATTTCCCTGTAAATACCAGCGTTAACAAACAATGGTTTCAACCAAGGTTTCAGAGTGGTGCGAAATTGATTTCCGTCCATCCGCACTACTGTAGGCAAAAACCTGGTGTTCAAATGGTCTACCAAAACCGTGTAAAGAATCAAACGGGCGGATATCCGCCCTGATCTTTTTTTGCCGGGATCCCCACTCTCCAATTGCCCGGATTTGTCAAAAAGGTCAATTTGCTTTCGTCAAGACTTGGATTCTGAGGGCTTGGCAACCACTGGAAACGGGTACAGGAAAGCTGAAATGTTCTGGCCAGGGCTTCAAAAGTGAAACTTACTCCATTGAAACGAGCGCCGCGAAATAGAGGCTAAAAGGGGGAAATGGCTCGGAAACTCACAGAAACTCAAAACTGCACGAGTTGCACAGCGCAGCAAGCCCCAGGACAAACCTGTGCCGAGCCGCTGCTTCATCAAAATCCGCTCCTCCTCGTGCTTCTTCGCGGCCTGGCACAGCGCTGAGTGTGCATCCCATGAATTCCGCTTGAAGATCCACTGCCCTATGTGAGTCACAGCCGATACTGTGGGTGGACGAAATTCATTTCGCACCACCTAAGCAACCATGAGACACCATTGTTGGTTGGTATTTACAGGCGAATAACATTCCCGGGTTTCTCAAGTGGTGCAGGATTTCGTCCATCTACGTCCGTTGCTCATGAGTTTCACAGATGGGGCCAGTTTCCCTGTGACATGTTTTTAGTAAAGAAATTGTTCTTCCTATCTCGCTGTTGGGCCCCCTCTCGTTCTCATTGGCGCCCCTTACATCTTTGCGCCCACGTGTTAACCGGAGCTCACACGTTCACAAATCTTCTCTTGGGATAGATGAAACCCTACACACAATGGGATAAAGCTCCTACCAACTGGTGCAGGAGTTCGTCCAGGAGGCAGCTCTTCGTCCGAATATTCCGAATTTGTCATGATCAGTCTTGCAACTACCCCAAGGCTCCCAATTGTTTCTAGGCCCTCATGGGCTGTTTTTGAGGGCCCTTGAGGGGTCCGGGTTCTTCATTGGAGGGCCCGGGGGCCCGCATTGGGGCAATGAGCCGGATAATAAACAAACAGATTGCTGAGAAAGCAAGGCCTCGGTTGGAGCTGGCTGTCTACTGTAGCTGCACCATGCAGTCTGTGACGAAGTGTGACTGAGAGTCGCTTGGCATAGATGTCAAAGGCCGATTGTATAGGTCGTGTTTTGGACTCATGGCCAGTTTGGACACTCTAGGGCTGATTTCCCATAATTCAGCCACAACTAACGGTTAATATCAACCCATATGCCATAAGGGGTTCATACCAGGGGGTTCATAAATGGGCGTCTACATTCAGCCTTTGAAGCTGTTGACCATTTGTCGTTTAATGAGCCCAAGACATGCAAGGCCTGGTCCAAAGCGCCCTCGATGATGACGGCCGTCACGAGGTTCATGAGGCCAATTGACACGAAGATCAGGATGGAGAAGAAGTACATGGCCAAATAAGGCCTCCGATGGCCGAACCTCTGCCTAGAGTCTCCTTCTGACCCTTAAAAAATGGGTGGTCATTGCTCATTACCCTCTAAATAATGGGGTCATGGACCTATTTTTAAAGGGCCATGGAGACTCCAGCTGGATTTCCCTACCCAGACGCTGGACCCTCCTGAAAGGGCTCTTAGGGACAGCAACCAGGGCCCTCAAACGGCAACCCATTTTGACTCGGCCCGGCCAGTCGTGAGCCTTTGGGTCAAGATGACTGGCTTCCCTTGAAACGATCGGATTTTTTTGGACCCAGATGGTCCAAGTACTTCATAAGGATGGGTTTTGGGGGGGTTCAAAAGGGTCTAAGTACCTTCTCAGAAGGTACTTGGACCCTTTAGGGGAGGTTCACCGGGGACATGCCTCGGGTACCTTGTCTAACCCAACCCGTCACCAAGGCTTAGCCTTCGCGAAGGTCAAGCAAATGTGGCCATGCCGGTCATGGCCCCCTCAGGAACATGACGCTCTCAGCTTCATTTCGATTCCTCCCACGGTACCGCTCTTTTTTGGGGTCAAAGGCAGAAGAAAAGGTTCATTCCAGGTCCAGGTGGCTTTGTGAAGAGACGCCGGCCCCAACGTCTTTTCCGACCCCCCCCCTTCCAGGCCCCCGGCATTACCATGACCTTTTGGAAAACAAATCGATATACCAAGCCAATCGGAACCAGTGGAACCCATCTACCCAGAAGCTCACGGACCCTCCTGAAAAGGGTCCGACCCCTCGGGACAGCAACCAGGGCCCTCAAACGGCAACCCATTTTGACTCGGCCCGGCCAGTCGTGAGCCTTTGGGTAACACAATCCTAACAAGGTTCATGGCGAGGTTCCAAGGGGCAGATCAACCCCTCGTGGGCAACCGAGTGACTGTTACGGAAACCGATGCTAGCTCCTCACTTGTGAGTGCCTGCTGCTATGATCGATGCCCTTGGCAATGGGTACGAACTTCATCAGTTTACTTAACTCCCCCTGGGAAAACTTAACACAGGAAAAGAACAGATATCCTTAAGCAAATGGAAGACTTTTGTGGGGTGCCCTTTTTTTGATCTCCGGCGGGACACTGATGTACCTCAACAAGGTACCCCCTTCACTACCAGTACCTGGCCCAGTTTCAAGAGCCTTCCTTTCTCAAAAGTCAAGGTCAGAGAGTGTCCGATCAAAAAGCTGGTCAAACATCCAACAGCATCCTAGATAGCCAAGTTGCCGCTTTTTGTCAGACACTGTTGCTCGTTTTTGGGGTAAAGTGGATGGGAAAAAGCGATCGCAACTGGCGATCCAGGATCTTTTCTTTGTGGTTCTAAAGGACAAAAGGACAGCCACCGGTCCGATTCCTCCAGAACGGCAGACACTCGCGCCTCTCCAGGATCAGAGGCGTGTAGACCTGACGCTTTACAAGCGCGCTCAAAGCTCAAAGCGGAAAAATCCGAGGGCGGAGAGTTCAAAAGCCCGTGCCAACCGAACGAAAGGCGCAGCCCGTTGGCCTTTGCTTCCTCTTTTTTTTCCGGTTGTTTTGGGGGGAGGGGGGGCCCAAAAAAAACACAAATTGCGCCCCCCTCTGGTTTGTGAGCTAAGACAGTGGCTGTGCCGTAGAATCTGCCTCTCGCCCAAGGATTCTCCCCGTGAGGCCATGCCACTCTTTCTGACAGGTGCATTTCGTCAAAAGAATTTGCCCATTGAGTCCCCTACTTTAAGACACACCCGTATGGACAACTGCATGAATTCCTTCCTCTCTGCTTACTAGAGGCTCCGTCTCTCGCCGCTGCTTGATGTTTTGAAAGGGACACCAGCCACTCCCCGCAAAATCGCAACAATGAAAACAGCCAGCGCTGGGTGTACTTTTCGACACAATCGATGGATTCCGCCCGCAAGTGGACACAAAACCAAGCTGAAACTTCAGTGGGATCCCGTCCACGATCAGCCAAGCCATAAGCACAACACTTATGAAGCCCTTTCCCAGGTCTGCAGACCTTTTGAGGCGTCAACCAAAGTGAAACCACAGTTTAAACCCCTAGCCATCTCCACTCCGTCCATGCCCCAGCGCACCAGCGCATCAACGCAGCAACGGCAAACTCAGCCGAATTCAGCGCGCGCCCAGATTCGGCGAAGATCGCGGCTGAACTTCGCCTGGGCGATGGAATCCAGGGTCACGAACTGAAGGAGCGTGAGGATGGCCCGGGGCAAGGAGTAGAAGTACTGCTCCACGATCCTCCAAGAAAAAAAAACAAAAACAAACGCGGCTGGGTGGTGGGGGGGGGGGCTTTGCGGGCGTGGGGGGGTCGACACGCCTCCGAACCACGGGCTGCTCTTTTTGTTTTTGTTTTCTCCGGTGGAAAGAAGGGGGTGTTCAGGTCCTCTGCTTTGGGCGGGAACCTTAGCTGGTTGGGTTTGAAGGTGGAGGCCTGGGAAAGGCGTCCTTCATTTTTTGTTCGGGGTAGACGGGTAGACCTCCTGTTGGCTCTTGGTTTGAACGAGGAAGTAAAGGGGTCCTCTGCTTTGAAAACGCCCCATTCGGGCCCCTTGCCAGAAGGGTCCATGTCCATGACTACTTTCTGGGTACGGCCTCATATCCTCGGCTGGCTGACAACAAAGAACCCCGCTTCACAAGCCAAAAGAAGCGCACGACATTCAACTTTGGTACATGTTCCATGCCACTCACCCTCAAATCCAGTATCCGGCTATTTGAACCCTCCCCCCCTCCCTGTCCAATTCAAGTCCTTTCAACACCCAAATTTCCAAATCTAGCGCAGTTTCCTCCTCACCGTCTGCGAACCTTAGACGTTCAAAGACCCCTTCTCAGCCTTAGCTCCGTGAAGTATTGTCATGCCCGAAAGCCGAAAGGTGGCTCTCTTTCTGTTTTAGGGCGAGCTTCGGTTCTCCTTTTGCTTTCCCTGCAAAACCACCTATAGTATACCCTCAAAAGAAGACCAGCTGCCCGTATTGACACTCCAAGAAAGCCGGCAGAAGAATGCCAAAGATGCCGGTCCAAAAACGACCCGATCAAATATTGACACAAGCAGACTGGGCGATTCGTTTCAACCTAGGGTGACCTGGAGGACCAACGTCGAACGTTTTATCCGCCAACGAGAAGCGCTGTGGTGGCCGGCTGGGACTTCAGTACGTCATCCTGGCGACAGGACGGGCCAGCGCAAAACTGCGCCTTTTTGAGGTTTTCCTTTTGGTTTCCCAAGAAGAGCGCCAGAAAAGGGCACCCTCGCAAAAATGCGCACATCCATTTCTCAGTTATCCGAAAAAACCACCGCCTAGACCCCAAATGAAATGCCCCAAAGGGTCGGGTGTTCAACCAGGGATTGGAAAAAGGCAAGCCTAAATCTTCCGCCTGAACAAGGAATGGTGGCGTGCTGTCGTTCGGTGGAAGTGATCATGGTTTACATGACCAAACTACCTTTCAAGGAGCTGTGCTAAAAAGAATTCCTGATCTCTCTAGGGGTTGATTCCCCATTCCTTTCAGCCATCGTTCTTTTCAAACCTCATCAACTTTCCTTGCGTTTCTGGAGGTTTTGTAACAAGAAGGATTTCTGGAAAGAATGGTTGGACAGTACCCCTAGATTCTCAGTTTGATGACCACCCTGGCCCCCACTAAGCTTGAGCTTGGCCTCTTCACCACATGAGGCCTGAACCTCAAGTTCTGTCAAAAGAGTACCCATCCAGCCCAAAAGCCCAAAAGATGTCTTGTTGAGACATACCCTTTGGGTTGAAGGGAAACCAAAAGAAAGCCCGAATTCCCAAGCCTTTTGGTGCGAGTCCCAACCCTCCATTTGCGTATAAATACCGCCCTCCTGAACAAAAAAAGGTGAAAACACGTCCAAGTAATGATAGATCCCCTTTTCAAACCCACCAGGGGAAATATGTTTTTCTGAAAAACGCAAATGGAAGATAGATCCCCTTCTCAAACCCACCGGTTTGAATATATATATATATATGTATATTCTGAAAAACCGCCAAATGGAAGTCACTTCTCCTTTCGTGTCCAAAAAACATTCTTGGCGACCGAAGAACGAACAAAAATCAACATCGACGGGAAACCAGGGGATTTTTTTCTGAAACCCGCCTCCTTGGTATCCCAACAAAGACCACTTCGCGACCGAAGAAAAGCGATGGCTGGGAACCACCAAGAACTTCGTATCTCAAAAACCATTTTTGCGACCGGAGAAAAAAAAGAAAACAGTTCAACAAAACAAAACAGCGCGCCTTGGTGATGAGCTCCACTGCCATGCACCCGAAGATGTAGAGCCTGGGTCCATCCGCGAGGTCCGCGTTGGGAGACGCGCGGTCCGGGCGGAGGTCGCTAGCGTTGGGGGCAGAGGGATTTTGGTTGGGCGAGGTTTGTGTGTGTTTTCCCCGGTCTTATGTGGGGGTCTTTAGAGGAAGCCCGACTTTGGCATGCTTCATGGAATGGGAAGCTGTGTTAAAACTAAACATGGGTTTGGTTTGCAAGAGGCAGTCGCACCGTTTTTGCTGGCTGAAAACCCAACAAATGTTCAGGCACACCAAAAAGGGCCGAAGCTGGAATGGTAAGCCAAGTCCAGCAAAAAGCTTGGACTTGCCTCATTCCAAAAGGAAACCACCCGATCGAAAACCCATCCAGTTGACAGGCCGAAAGACAAAAAGTGTCGCTTCTGTCGATTTGATTTTGTCTTGCTAAATTTCCTTCTATGGCTCATTGCCAAGGAACCCAACCGCCAACACCAGGACGGGACAATTCACACATACATCCCAACTAGCAAAGAGCTATTCAGTGTCAAAACGGCAGGCGCTCCAATGCTGTTATTTGTTTGCAAACATAGAAACAACCAGTGTTTCTGTGCCAAAACCTCCAGTGGTCCAGCAACACCCTGCGCAACTCTCAGTCTCACTCACGGTCTGCCAAACCTTGCCCAAACAGCCAGGCCCTACTCCCGAACAGCTCCCTGCGCAACACCGCCCTGCGCAGCAGCGCCTGCACAACAGCACCCACGACAGCATCCTGCGCAAAAGCGTGCAACAGCACCCCTGCAACAGCACCCCGCAAAACACACAATCAAACTCCAGCGGCACACAGCAACAGAACTCTGCAGCAGCCTGCGCGGCCACAATGTTGTGTCACCCGAGCCGCTCTCTACAAGATAGAAGCCGTGTGGCTTTCAGCTTCTACGGCAGTATTAAGATGGGAAGACCCGGGATCCCTTTTTCTCCTCACAATCATTTGCTTAAGTTCCCTGCAAAAAATACATATGTCCAGCCGTGATAGCTTCCCTTTAACTCCAACACATGTATTCCGATGCCGCAAATCGAGGCTTCACAAAAAACCTCCACGCATGCACACAAAAGTTTGCACGGCAAACCTGACCCATAGGCGTATGGGCCATGAGCAAAAGCACACAAACTCACACGGCATTTGGATTCCATTGGAGTCACTTGCTCAAACCCCGGTCTTAAAATGGTCGATCCACAGAACCATGCTTCAAACAAAATACGAAGGCTGCTCTCCGCACCCCTTTTTGCTGGCTGGGACTGGGCCTTCACCTTTCATCTTTTCGTGGCTCGGTTGGAGGACGTGGCTCGGTTCCAGTCATTCGCGTCCCCAAGGCCCGAGGCGCATGAAGGTCACCAAGGCGGTGGTGGACAACATGGTTTGCCCCGCAGAGAGCAGCGCGTAGACCAGCTGCCAAACCTCAGGAGTTCTCCGATCCGTCGGTTGTTTGGCTTGCGACCTGTCTGGTTCTAGGGGTTGGTTCCTTGTCCATTCGTTTCAATCGGTCGTTTCAAAAACTCGCCGTTTTCCCTGAGTCTCTGGAAGTTTTCTAGAAAGAAGGATTCCTGGAAAAAATGGGGAAGGTACCTCGAGATCCTTGGGCGGTACAAGGGCCTTGGGGTCAAAGCGAAATGCCGAGTGCACAGCTTTGAGACACGGAAACCGAGATGTTTCCGTCGAGATGCCAGGGGCTCAACGACCCCGATGAACGCTTGGAGTGATAACCGATCCAGCCAACGTTTGGCTGCGGTTGTCGTCAAAACTTTTGACGGCAAGTGGGGGTCCACCCCCCCCCCCCCCCGCCCCCGCGTTACTTTCTATGGGGTTGTGTTTTGGAGGGTACCCCCTTTTTGTGGGTTTCAAAGGAAAGCCAAAAGGACAACCGCCATTTTGGGGGTCCCCGAAAAAGAAACACAGATACTACATGGGGAAAAAGGTCGATGATGACTGGACCTGTATCTGTGCCCTTTCGAGACCGGAAGAACGGTTGGACCCTTGGCTTGTTTTGAAGGACCAGGCTAAGTTCCCTTGAAAACTCACATGGAACCTCAAGCAAAAACATCCTTTGAAAACGAAAAAAAAACAGCAGTGTTATTCAGAATCCGTCTTTTTGTTGGGGTGCACAGACACCTGACCACGATTCACTGGCTCCCCCAGAAGTCGCTGACCCTCAACAAGACAATGACCGTGTTTAGCAGTCCACTCGGCCAAGCGAGGATGTTTTCGGGCGCAGGGTGGCGCAGCCCCTCCAAGCCAGCGGCGTGACATCGTGAAAACACAAACTGGGCGAGCGCAGCTCCACCCCACCACTTGGGCAGGGTACTTGAACACGTCGTAAGTGGTTGGTAGCCACGGCTATAACCCACCAAAGCCATGGTTACAAGTCTCCGTTTAGCGGTTTTTTTCTTCACCATGGTTGCTAGTCTCCATGACCCTTTAAAAATGGTTGGTCATTACCCTAAATAGTGGTTGGTCATGGACCTATTTTTGATTAAAGGGTCAGAAGGAGACTCTGGCCACTTGCCTGACGTAGCCTTCATCGATCACCCCTTTAAGCCCCAAACCCTAGCTCGGGGACCTTAAACACTTAGTAAGTGGTAAGTAGCCATGGTTATAACCCACTTTGCCACAAAAGCCACGGTTATAAGTCTCCGTTCAGTGGGTATTTTCACCATGGTTTAACCACTTGCCTGACGTGCCCTTCATCGATCGCCCCGTTTTAGCTAAACAAAAAGGAGGTATTTACCTTTAAAACCGATCGGTGTTCCAAACAAATGTCCTAAAACAAGTGGGTATTTGGACTGGGCAGTTTCAGCCCCAAACCGACGTGAAACCGACGCAACCCAGATCCGAGATCCCGAGATCCCGAGGCGCCACCCGGAAGTGCTCCACGACCCGCAGGGCGCGGACCAGGCGCAGGAGCCGCAGGCCCCGCACCACCAGGACCTTCTCGATGCCCTCCTTCGGTTTTTTTGGGGGGCGGTGGGGTAGGGGGGGTCTGGGAGGGGCTTTGGTTGTTTTTGGGGGCGGCTGGGGGTGGTGGGGTGGGGTGGTTGGGAGGGGGTTTGGGGTTTGGGTTTGGGAGGGGGGTTTGGGAGGGGGTTTGGGAGGGGTTTGGGACGGGGTTTTGAAAGGTGGGGGTTGGGTGGGGGAGGGGGTTAACATCTGAAGAAGCAGCCCACCTGCGTTCTGCAAGATGGTCGCAGAGTTAGCATGCAGCATTGCTCAAACAACGTGGGCATGTCCATTCCCGATCACTTTTGCACTTGCCAGGTTCTTCTGCAGACTGCAAGTTTTTGCAGATGCAACTTGGGGGGGAAGGTTTGGTCAAACTGGGTCAGTGATCTTTGTCAGAGAGAAGCCATGAAACCATTGAAACATGGTGTCAAAATGGGTGTGTCCAACTTGTTTAGGAATAGGACCCCCCCACCCCCCCGGCATAAAAGATGCGTGACGCTGTTCCTTTCTGTTTCCTTTTAAGGCCACCCCAAGTCAACCAGAATCGGGAGTTGCACGCGGCTTGTTTTTTTGGAGTCGCTTTGGATCCTTTCCGGTTGTTGAAAAGCCCAGCCTCAAGGGACAACTAAGCGTACATGAACCCCAACAAACGCACACGGAAAGAAAAAACAGGGCGCTGCTTCCATTTTACACCAGAAACGCGGAGGAGAAGACATATGCATATATATATATATATGTATATATATATATATATGCATATGGGAAATTCTGCAGCACCTTTGGGATTTGCCCCTTCGACTTCTGTAGGCCGTATTCCGAGATGCCCAGAAGCCATGGGGAAAAAAGAATCGGCACCCGTTTCTCTTTTGTTGGTTTCGCCACATTGCTCAAGACACCCCCCCCCCCAATTGGAGTGAGGTTGGTTGAAATTTAAAGGGGACGCCACTGGGCAACAGACTATGTCTCTCGTTTTTGTTGATAAGAAAAACATCCTCCGTGCTGCGTGATGAGACATGGAATGAACCCAGGCGTTGCTCCCGAACAAAAGGACACCACCCGTTGGATGGTTTTCGTTGGGGTCATTCCATTTCGTATTCCCTGCCTATCGCACCAGCAAGTTTGAAGGCTTGAGCGGCTCGGATGGACATTAAGATGGGCTGCCCCGGAATAAAGACCTCGGGCCTGAAACGACCTTCCGTTGCGTTTCCTGGGTCGCTCCGAAGACTTCCAATCAGGACTCCATCCTTCAATCCTTTCTGTTCCTTCCACACACAGGTGACCTTTTGAACAAATCGATGGGCTTCCCTGGTAAATGGGTGGGATACGATCAATCTAAACCAGTGGAACCCCGATCCATTTCTACAGTGGCTTGCCCATCTATTTCACTCACCGAAAAGGTTCACATCCGCCGGGGCTCGAATCGGTTGGAACCAGACATAGGCACCACCACCAGCGCAACGATCCCCACCTTGAAATGCCATCGGGCACCGACCGAACGGAAGCGCACGGTTTATTCGGTTGGGGGGGGGGGGGGCCTAAACCAAAAACAGGTGGGGAGGGGGGGTTGGAAGGGGGCGTAAACCAAAAATGGCACGGGGGGGGGCCTGCAACAAAAAAGAGAGGGGAAACAACATCGCCGTGTCATGTGCACAGTACGAGTATGATCCGACCCCTTTTTGATTGTTTTTTGCTGGGAGAGTGTCGTGGAAAAAATGCCAAGCGACCGAGCGACCAACCTTGGCTCTGGTTGATTATTTGAATTCTCTGAAACCGATCGCATCTCCACAAAGAAGCAGAGATTCCTTTGAAGCCTAGAACTCCAAGAAGAACAGAACACCCACCCACCAACAAGAACTGGACACCCACACAAACACCGAAACCAAACTGATTTCTGGAATGTTCGGCTGCGGGCCAACACATGGCACCAGGCCAACAACCTGGTCCGTGAAACCAGCCTACAGAAAGGAAAGCTCACTTCCTAAGCTCCAACCGTTGCTGAGAACTACAAGGGACAAGCGCCAAGTCCCAAGTCGATCCCAAATCACCATGGATCTCAAGCTTGCAAGAACTGGCCATGCTTTGTTGAACTTGCTCGTTCTGTGGCTTCATGGCCTATCTTTCCTTTCTGCCCCTCTAGCACTCCATCCAACATATCCAACCCCAATTTCTCACGTCTCGCCGCTGAGACCAGAAAGAAGT